AAAAAAAAAATGATTCAATATCTCAACCAGAATTTGTACCACGCAAAAAGATTACCACCAATAAGAAATAAGCCAAAAAATTTTACAAAAACTGGAGTAGAGAGAAAAATACTAGTGAAAATAATCCAACAAATAGACAAAGATACTGCAATATTCACCTGCTAATTTTCTTCCTACCGCTCTACTCACCAACTCCCCTCATTCTTTCTTCTATTAAACAGGCCAATTACTAAAGATGTTAAGGTCAGCAAGCAATGTTATTTAGCTTTCTTCAGCAAGAGCAGAATTATCAAAATAGTGACTGATAAAATTAAAATTGACACTGATCTTCCAAGCAAAAAGTTTCCTTGCTTCAGCAAATTAAATTGTAGAAAACATAGAAAAACTCAAATTTTAAGTTGTGTTTTATTTTGTTATCAGCCTTATACCTTAAGTTAAATAACCCTCCCAGTCCGTCCTTAACAAAATGTAAAACTTCCAAACTTTCAACCATTTTTCTAATTTTTTTTATCACAACTTCTTATTACGACGTTCCCAAAGTGTTCACTGCCCAACTCTAAATATTAATCAATTCCTAGACTTCAACAGTCCCAACTTTAGTGTATAAGTGCAGCAAAACCGCTATCCCAAATATCTTCTCACTTTCAAGTTAGATAACTGGGCATATCTAGTCCAGGTCGAGAAGGACCACAAAGTTTTCTTTTTTAAAAAAACCCCTTGCCAGAAGCATTAGTCTATAGAAAACACTCAAAGCAACAATACTTACCTCACAGAATGTAAGCCACAGGTATCGTAGCTCACCGAAAAGCATACAGCCATAATTCGTTTGTTTATCAATGAAATCCTCAACCTAACAATTTCTATCCAAAAAGGAGAGAATTCACGTAAATTCTACAATGGCACAAAACTCCTTTACTATAGCAAATCAAAATGAAATAATTTTCTTTTGAAGGTAACCAAAAATGGTCTGAAGACGAATGCGCATGTATCTGTACTCTAAAAAACTGTCCTCGAAATCGTTTCTTGAACAGAAGTAGCTGTACCTGCGACGTCCACTCAAAAAATGCTTTGAACCAGGCAGATTCCAATGGTAACTTCAGACCAAACATCTCACAGCTTCCAGTCCTCAAACTGAAAGGCAGAAGCAATAGGCAACATATTACTAGAACTTCATTTGAAAAACCGTAATACCACGAAAGAAATTCTGTGTCATATACAACCCCTACATGTTCTGCAACTCATACGTCGCAAGTTCTCTTTACAATAACGCTTACTTGTCCTTCCACCCACTTTCGTCATATTTAATTGATTTGCCTAGAAGTTCCAACATTTTCCAAAGACTGGCGACTTTTACAATATTTACGTGATAGAATTTACCCTTGCCTTTGAGAAATTTAACTATCACCGTTCTTTCTATGACTAATACGACCAATGATAAACTGTAAACAGAAAACAATTTATTTAATAATGTAAACAGTGCAAGTGCTCGACCCGTGTTGTGACTTGAAGAATAAAGAATTCCAACCAACGAAACACGTATACAACATTGCTTCCGACGAAAACCTGTGTCCGTCTTCCCCACCACACCAAGCCACTTCAGTAATAATTCCCTTAATAATAATCTTAATAATCTCACTCAGCCTCCTCAGTAAACCCCATAAGCTTAACCCACAGTTAAATAGTCCAACCCACCTCGAAAAAAACCAAACTTTTAACCAGCATTCTACTCGGGAAGTTACCATCCACTAAACTACTACCTGTCTTGTACGCCAAAGCCACTACCAAGCCTGCCAGCAAGCCCAAGAACAAACTTTCAAGACCCCACCAAAAAGACCTGACAAAAAACCACAAACCAAAAAAACCACTATAACACAAAACTACTCGAACACGTAAACAATTTTACCAATAAGACTTTTCAAAAAGCAGAAAGTTCTTTACTGAGATGCAAATTATAAACTTGAAAAACAAACATGCTGCCACAGAAAACTAAAACATCCAAATTTTCAAAACCGAAGTCAGTAAGTAGCTTTCTTTTTCAATGCAGCTGTATGAAAGTAATGCGAAACGATGACTTCCGAAAGCATTGATGTAAAACTTGACCAATAAAGAGAATAGAACAAAAACTTTACGTAAAACGTTAAAACGAACACAGAACAGTGCCTGTAAATCTCACATATCTCACAACGTCCGCGCTTGAAAAAAAATAATTTGCTTTTTCTAAGACTCATACACACAACCTTTTTCGATATCACAAATCTATGAAAAAATGAATCATATAAAATACTCTGCGGAACGGATTTCATAAGTGTCGCATATATTATAACAACGTACTCAACAGAAGAAGAATAAGCAATTCACATAAGACGCTCAACATTCTTATATAAGAAAAAATAAATAAAGAATATAAGACTAAACGACTTCGCAATCGAAAAATACCCCCAAGTTTCCGCTGAATCTGATGGCTGTTGTCTTCTCACTACACTTTCTATGATGTGCCAAGGATAAGAGCGACAATCATACCATAAAGACCCAATACCTAAAATAAAAAAGCCTCTTCTACATCCTCCGTTTGATCGCCTTATATAAGATAAAGGAGAATTCAATAAAACAAAGTCTGCATAAACTGGCCTCTAAAAGGAAAGAAAAAAAGAAGAAATAAAACCGCTATCGATCAACTTAAAAATATCCTGTTGAAAAAATTATTGTACCTCAGAGAAAATTAAAATAAGGATCATTCCAACGAAAAGACGTGGTTGCTGGGCCGTTCCACGCACACCAGCATCACCAACTATTCCAATTGCGTATCCTGCACCCAGTCCACAAAGCCCACAGGTGAGCCCGGCAGCAAGGTGGGCAAACCCCTTATCCAGAGTATAACCATCTGTTGCTGACGTCACCTTACCTTTTAAGACCATTGCCACCTGAAAACCAGAAGAAAAATACACAAATCACAAGCCGAAACAACCGTATGTGAAACATTCGAAGACAAAAAGATTCCAGAAAAGCTGACACTGCAAATGACAAATCTACACTACAACAACTGCTTTCAAAAATTTATTAGAGCACTAAAGTCAATTCTTTATCAAAAATCACGACAGACTAGAAACTACTTCTACGTAAAAAAAGCTGTAATCCTAAAGCTATGGAAAGAATAACAACTCACGACAAGCCCGTAGATACCAATGATACCAGCCATAATAACTGGAATAACCGACTTCATAATCAGTTCTGGGCGCATCACACCCATACTTGAGATGCCGACGGCAGACTTTGCTGTTCCGTATGCGGCTCCTAAAACGGTAAAAATCTGCGCAGATGCTGCTCCCATATATCCGAAGAATGGCGCATACGCCGCTCTTTCTGCTACTGCAAGATCGTATGACATCTTCAAAGACCAACCGGCTCACTGCAAATGTTCACCCAGAAAACTGAAAAGAAACTAGTAAAAAGTGATACGACAACAAACTTGCAAAATCAATTACAGAAGATATCAAGCAATCCGTGAAAATCAACGGCTGAGGACAAAAACTTAACCACCGGTAGCAAATTTTATTTTGCATTAAATGTTCATCATTATCAATTACAATTTTGGGCTACAATACAGATCCAAAATGAACATAAATAATGTACATCACAGCCAATGCATAAAAATACAATTAGGAGTTCTCTCTACTACTTAAAATATGAAGCACCCTGCAAAAGCATAAATCCTCCTTCTAAAATCTCACAGTCGCTAAGCTTATAATAAAATCTAAATTTGATTTTTTGCTTATCATTTTAAGTAGCGCCAAGGATTAAAGCTACAATCATGCCATACAAGCCAAGCACTTCTGCAAAAATCAAAATGAGGATCATCCCCACGAAAAACCGAGGCTGCTGAGACAGTGCTCGAACTCCCGCGTCACCGGCAATGCCAATAGCATAACCAGCACCAAGTCCGCATAGGCCACAAACAGTACCTCCAGCAAACTGACTAAACCCATTATTGATCGTGTAGCCCTCTCCGCCCTCTTGAACTTTACCGGAAATAATGACTGCGACGACAAGTCCATATATAGCAACAATACCTAAGAAAATTATATGCGAAATACTTATTTAATCCCAAGTATTATCAGTTGCCTTAAGCCTTACTTACGAAACAACACCAAGTAACCCAAATTTTTTCAACCAAAAAAACGAGTCTGCAACCCTATAAAATGCGACTGTCCAAATAAAAAAAAAGCAAATTGTAATAAAAGACGTCATCGCTGACCGGCCATTACAACAGGTATTATTGCCTTCATAACAAGGTCAGGCCGCGCTACCGCCATCGAAGATATGCCTGTACCAGATTTAGCTGTACCGTAAGCGGACCCAGCCGCAGTAAACATCATTGCGGCTGAAACACCAAGTGAACCGAAGAACGGGGCATACATCGCCTGCTCCTCACTAAGAAGCCTGTTTGCATCGTCAGTGGAAAGCCCCCCAGACATTTCAGGCTGAGATGGTGTAACGACGAAAGCCTTCTAAACATAAACTGCCCAAAAGTTTCGAGCAATGACAACAAACAATCAATGAACACCTGCGAAAACACGCAATTTTAAAAGCAAAAGAGCATGGTCATTTAAAACACAAATATAATTAAAAAATAGCAACGAAAATCATAATTCTTCTGCTTCATAATCAACAATCAATTTTTGTTCATAATTACTGAAACTGAGACCACGCTTTACGCTAACAAAAACAGCCTAACTTTCTCCAACGAAAAAGAACCCCAAAGTAGCGATCAATCAGAAGCCAAAAACCAATGCGACCAATTGGAGCAACAAAAACTAAAAACCAATGGAAAACCAGGGTTTTAACAGTGTCTTCGGAACCGGCCA